GTGTTCAAAACATGATGACAACAATGTTTCTTTTGTTGTATTCTCTTTGGTATGTGATTTTCGAAGGTGAAACTCAAAACATGGGAAAAGCAAATATTGTTTTTTGGCTTCCTAATGGATGTGTTAAGGCTTTAAGAGTACATACTCGTTTCCATTTGATTGATGCTTCACTACTTTCTTATTTTTTTAAGGCCTGAGAAAATCTTTAGATACAAACTGTTAGGGTTTAGACAGCTTAAGGAGAGAAATTTGGGGAAAACGGTGTGAATCAAGTATATTTTAAAGAGCACTAAAACTTAAGAGTAATTCATGGATGGAAGTAATAAATCACACTAGTGATGACTAGTAATTTACTGATCAGACCAGGTAAGGTTACAAATACTAATCAGACCAGTACATACTGATTGGTATGTACTGGTCCAACCCAAGACCAATATCTGACCATATAGTTCAGTACTGCATGGTAAAAATTCCTTTTAGTTTTTCTCAGTCGCCGCATCACATTAGTCAGTATATCACCTAGTACACTAGTACCTTACATATCTGGTAAGGTGACCATGATTTTAAACCTTGGGAATGGGGATGTAAACTATTGTTGTACACGATACTACTTTTATATCTTCAAGAAAAAATAAAACATAACTATATTGTAAATACAAAATAAGTGGATATTTATTATGGCATTTTGATGTGTAGTGTTATTGTTCCTAAATCTTTGGTAAAAGGGATTCGCAAAGCTGGTGTATGTTACAACTCTTGAGCCAAAGGAAAGAGGCATTCTCTCTTTTCATATCTTGTTTTGCATAATTCTAGTCCATCATGTGCAACATTTAATATTCCTTTTGTTACAAAATCTCTTCTGTGCTCCTTTGGATTATATAGTTTATGTTCTTACTCAGTTCATTATGATGCAATTATATAGAAAAACAATATGAGAGGAAAATAATAATATATATTGCTTTGTATATGGTTATTTTTATTTCCTTCTAAATACTTATACAAGTTCGATTTATATGAGAGGTTTGGTCTTAACTCTGTATCCAGAAAGTAAGCTGTCGTCAAAAGAGCAAAAATTATTAGAGATTGTAGCATTGGCTGGTCTCATTTCAATTCTTTAATTTTGTATCTTTGCATGTAGGTACATCTTTACGTTTGCCTTAGGTGCTGGGCCGGTTACTGGTATTATTATCCCAGAGCTCAGTTCTAACCAATCACGTTCAAAGATAATGGGTTTTAGCTTCTCAATACATTGGGTAAGTTTTATGATCCTGATAGCTGCCATATAACCAATTGTTGCTCAATCTTTGACATGAAGGATGATACTTTGTTTATCCACGATGCTTTTGTATGGTTAGAATATTTACTTTTGCTGGTCATGTAGACAGAAAATAAAATATAAATATTTTTTAGCATTTTCAAACAGTAGATAAACATTCCAACTGACGAAACACTGACATAAGCTTGTCATGTCTATGCATTGATTAATCACCTTGAGCTCTTGTTTCTCACTCTGCTCGTACATTGTGTTCTGGAATATAGCTTTTCATAGAAGAATAAATTCAAATGATTTTTCTTTATTCTCGGTCTTTAGATGGTCAAAGTTGTGACTTGTGAGTGCTGAAGTTTGTATTAGATTCAACTTATAAACTTTTTCTGTAGTGATTGAAGTTTAAGTGGATACATCTGCAATTTATGTTTTGTTTCTTATGTGCACTTGTATGGCAGGTAGTTTGCCTGTTATAAGCGTTAAAGTTAGATAAGTATTGGAATGACTTCATGGAAGAAAATTCAATTTTTTATATCTTTTTCTGACACATAGGGGTCGAGTGAGGTGTGAACTTGTCCTTACTATAAAAAACAGAGTTTTGTAGTTTGCCCTTGTTAGTTTTATTTTTTCTACGGTCTGTAGGAATTGGAAATGAGTCTTAATCTACATGTATTAGAGAGCTCTCCAAACATAAGTTCCAGAAACTAAATGACTTTACTAAATCATATTATCACCTGAAATCAGACCTTAGTATCAATATTGATCAAAATAGATCTCTTTAAAGAAGAAAAAGTAAGATAATTAACATAAACAGTCTTCAATAAACCTAAAGTATACTCAATTTGGACCATAAGAAAACTTGTTGTAGTTCAACCTACCAAAGTAGTTTATGGTCAACCTTGCCTTTTGTTGTGAGAAATTCTGGGGCAGGTTTGTGTTGTAGATGATATCTTTATCCATTTTACCGGTTCTAGCCTGTGACCTACAGTATAATCATCAGAGGACAAGGGTAAAATATTTTTCTTTTTCTGCGGTATACAAATTGTTCTTGAAGGGTATGCTGGAATATATGCTATTGTTCAATGTACGACATGCGCAGGTTAGCTTCTTAGTGGCTGCACTTAATAGAACTATGAACATGATAGTGTTAGACAACTCTGGTCAGTCACTTGGTAATCGTCATGCTTTCTTCATCTTGGATTTCTTATATTGATGTGTATTTAATGTGCTTGTGAGCATTTTGCATATTTCTTACATGCAGGGTTAGAAATAACTTGTATCGCAGTATGTTGCAAGTGCTAGGTGGAAATTCCAAACGTTTAACACAACTGACCAATTAACCCACTTGCAGCATATAGGATAATGCATTACTTTGATTTGACATGTTATGACACCTTTACACACTCCAACCCTTGTTTGTTTGATATGACTAATTAGTTATGATATGCCACTTTTACTATTAGTTGTCTATTGGAACCAAGACTGCCCAACTGTTTTAGCTTTTTCTTGTCAATCCTAGCGGTCAAATTTGTATTGATGTTGATTCCTTCTTGCACATAATTTTCAGATTTGCAACTTTTTAGTGGGGTTATATTTCTTGGAGTTGGTGGAGAAATTTGGTGTGGGGCCTGTGTATGGAGCTTTCGGTGGGGTTTCCTTGATGTCTGCAGTATTTGCAACATATTTCATAGTTGAAACAAAAGGACGCTCCCTTGAAGAAATCGAAATCTCTATGAATGCAAACTTAGCTGCTAAAGATGAATGATGGAGATCTTGTTTTTCTAAAAATATATTAACAAAAGAAGTTTTGTTCTAGACGGAAAAGCTATTAGTTTCATGGCAGAAACTTAATCATTTGGAGCAGATGCAGTCTGTGTTGAAGCAGTTCCTGGTGCTCATGATCACATATTTCCATGTGGAAGAACAGATTCAAGGAACTTAGCTTTGCTTCACTCTGTGCTACCGGCTACGGACTCGACCACAAATATTTTCCAAGTTTTCTCCAGATTTTCAAACCACAAGTATGTACATATAATCCTAATTGTTGTTTATAAATTAGTATAGGAAATCGTTTTTTCCTTGTTGTTTTATATGTTATTGTGATATATTAAAATTTTATCAAAAATAAAAATGTGAAACATTAGATAATGTCGGTTTGCTTGCTGTCAAGATGTGTAATACACAGGAAAAGAAGTGATAAATCTCCAACTGTCATGTTTGCGTACATCTAATATTTACAATTTATCATTAACAAATGACCAGATTCATCTTCTCCTTGCAGATGCGATTAAATCGGTTGATGATGCTTGGCATTTTATGTAGTTTGAGATGAGCCTGTCATATTTATGTGCAAAACATGATCAAGATGTGAAGTCAATAATCATGAATTGTACTATGGTGCATAAATATTCTTTTGCTTAAAAGGTTAAGGTGGATTTACAAGGTTGTGAGATGCTCTCATCGTCTTTTAGTTGTAACAGTGTTAGTATATTTACTCAGCAAGGTTGTAACAGTGTTAAAACCTATTGACCTGAGTTCAAACTGATGCAGTATATTATTTTTATTGCTATCAATCGATAGGTCAAATTAGAATTGAAACTAAATCAATGATTTCCGTTTCAGAATCAAAATCAGAATCACTGGAATTTTGATAGAATAGAGACGTTCCCGATGTCTCCAAGGGACGACTCGTGGTAGTGGCCACTACGAGGCGGGGAGGGCCAGTGGAGGACGTGACGACGCATCCAAAAGGAGACGAGAGTGGTCATCCAAATTGTAGTCGGTATGGAATCCATCGATCCTGCGGTGGGCGTCGCATCAGTTGGTGTTTGGAGCCCACATGCCTACGTACTAACAGGCGCTGCCGACGTCAAGCCAAAGGAGGCAGGCACGTGGTCGATGGCTACCGATCAATGGGACCGCTCCTGTTGTAGCTATATTGTCGGGTGTGAAGTCGATGATAGCCACACCACACCCCACGTGCCCTTATTCCGACGGCAAATCTCGCGCATCCGCCGCGTTAGGTAAGAACGGTAGCAGCTCCAACGCCTTCCATATTTGAATTCGATTATCTATGCATAAAATTATTACTTCAAATTATATCAATTGGTTTATATTAAGTTTTTAAATATACTTTCGATGTTTTTATAAAAAAAATAATTCAAAATGAAGGAAAAATTCCAACAATTCATCCGTCATTACATATTATATTATATTGCATGCGAGGCTGCAGTCCCACACAGCCCCACTCCACTTGTTCCACTCAAACCCTTCGCTCGGGGCGAAGAAGACGGCCGCGAACGTGGCGAAGAGGCGATGCGAGATGGTGGCATCACGGTGTGGACCACTCCACGGCAGGCAGGCATCGCCGGATATTCCATGGGATGTGCGTTCGATCCCTTCGGAGCCAAAGGCAAAAAGACGTGCCACTGTCTGCTGTTTCGAACTGAAACGTACAGTATAATATCGAATAGCTTACCCTCCACCTAACCCGCCCATTATTATGTACTCGTCGGCTCCCTCTCCTCCGTTCATCGATCGTTATTGCTGCGTGACTTGACACCCACAAGACGCATAAAGCCTGCGTATTGTGTCATCAGATGCCAACATGCATCTACTCGAATCCCAACTTCAGTTCCCGTTAACCTGCATGATTCCTGTAGATTATGATGATACCTTTAAATAATAGAAGAGATGAAGAATGATAGAGAAGCACATTACATCACTCGTGGTCTACATAGTCTGCTGGAATTACCTCAGTTCCTACATTGACCCATTGATGATCCCGCTTGAGATCTCAAATGGCACCCACCTCAGGTAGCTCTGTGTCCAGAAGCTGCAGCTACGACCATTTCTTTCCAACGTAAAGTCCATTCATACGATTCATTACTGCATCTTTTCTACTCTCTCGGTTATATCTCGTTGTATTTAATATGAACAACCACGACCTTTTGCCTCTTCCTTGACTTATGTATACGCATCGCCAGGTGAGTTCAGCCTTCAAATTTGACCGCCTCTCTTGCCGCAGTTGATATGGGGATGGCAAGAATTCCGGAGGAGTTCGTGGTCCAGCAGGCGATCGAAGAAGACGACTGCAATAGTCATCGATCACCCAGCTCGAAAGTAACAGCGGCAGTGGCGGAGGGGGTGTTCGTCCCGCCGCTGAACTTTGCCATGGTCAACGACGGAGTCTTCCGGTCGGGGTTCCCCGAGACCACCAACTTCCGCTTTCTGGAGACCCTCGAGCTCCGGTCGATCGTGTGAGCGGAGAACGCTAACTACATTCGTGATCTTTGATCCCTTTCACCGATCGCCAATCTTTTCTTGTTTGTGCCCGCAGATATCTCTGCCCGGAGCCATACCCGGAGGTGAACAAGGAGTTCCTCGAGTCCAACAGTATCAGGCTCTTCCAGTTTGGGATCGAAGGTCGCAAGGTACTCCTTCTTGCTGTCCAATGTGATCGATCGACAAGGAACGAATTAGATTGTGACACTATCAATGGAGTTCATCTTGGCAGGAACCCTTCGTCAACATCCCAGGAGAGAGGATTCGAGAGGCTCTCGAAGTTGTCCTCGGTAATTACACGTAAAACTTACATAGCTGGGAAAAAAGTACGATCGAATGTTGTATTCATGAACCTCTGTCTCTGTTACTTCAGATGCCAAAAACCACCCGTTGCTTATCCATTGCAAAAGAGGAAAGGTGAGTAAGAGAGAAGAGTAAATGATTCTGATGCACAGACATCGGGTTCTAAACTGCGCTCTCTCCATGGATCAGCATCGAACAGGTTGCGTCGTAGGGTGTCTGAGGAAGCTACAAAAGTGGTGCTTGAGTTCGGTATTCGACGAGTACCAGCGGTTTGCTGCTGCCAAAGCTAGAGTTTGCGATCTGAGGTTTATGGAGCTGTTCGACGCATCGAGCATGAAGCTGCTGTCGACTTAGTGGCCCTCATCCGATGAGGTCCTCCGCTGCTTGAGAGAGGCCAGTATTTGTCGGTCTTGTGTACTCCCAGCGAATAACCTGCAGCGAATTAATTACTAGGAATCAGTGTGATTCAAGCACGTTAGTGATTTGTATAGCTTGTGGTGAATGCATCCGAGAGGGGCGCTTCTGCCATCGTTTTCCTGCAGCAAGTGAAAGGTGAGCTTCTTGTTGGACTGTACCGACTCATATGCTCTGATCGAGAAACTTAGAAGAATACATTTCCTTTCGGGTTGAGCTTTAGGTTTTAATGATTGAGCTTTGCCAATACCATCGATGCAAACCGCGATTCAAACATATTTCCTTTTCCTTTAACGAAAAGATCGAAATAGCAGATGTTGAGATATCAATTAACATTCAGATTGGAAGTACGAGAGAGTATACTAAAGAAGGAAGACAGATAGTTGCATCACATACATGCATACATACATACATACGCGTAAACATGGCAGTAGGCCAAGACTTGATGAGAGGGAAAGAAGAAGATAAGGTTTAGAAGGGAGAGGTCATCTTCTTCTCTTGTCCATTCTATGGGCTCAGTGGAGGAACTAAAAATTGCTGAACAGATGAGTGGACCAATCATCCTCCCACACGGAGGAGAACAACTTTATAATGTGTAGATAAGAAAGGGTTTCTAGATAAGATTTTTAGGCTAATCACCTTTACTTCTTCCACAACCATTGGATTCCTTCGGATGGTTTGAAGTCCTTGTTAGATTATTCTGGTTAAGTACGGAGTTTGTTTGATGGATGAGAGGGCCTCCCACGCACTCTCACACCATCTAATTATTCACACTAAATTATATTTGATATAATATATTCTAACATGGACATGTCAGCTGCCACGACGGACCTGACACATTGTTCCGAAGCTAACGTGGTGCGCCAAGCTACCTCAACACCATAGTTCTAAGTAAGACAGCCACCTATCATCCGAACCTCCCAACATACGATAAATAGTACATAAGCTACCCCCAAGAACAATGTTGGAGGTTGGACTTTTAAACATTTACGTACAAAGACATCAGTGATCATTAACACTTATGTGTATTAACACACGATAATGGATACGCAAGCCACCCTCGAAAACAACGCTAGGAGTCGAGCCTTTAAACATCTGCATACAGAGACACCGATGATTATTAATACCTATGTGCATCAACACATGACAATGAGTACAAAAGCCACCCCCAAGAATAGTATTGGAGGTCAAGCCTTAAAACACATGCGTACGGAGACACCGACGATCATTAACACCCATGTATGTCAGCATAGATTGAATACCTTGGGATGATTTAAGGTCCTTATTAGATTGTTCTTGATAAATACAGAGCTTATTTCATGGATGAGAGGGCTCCTAGGTACTCTCACATCATCTAATTATTCACACTAAATTATATTTGATATAACATATTTTTACATCCACCCCATAGATACGTCGATTGCCACGATGGATCTGGCACATCATTCTGAAGTTAACGTAGCGCGCCAAGCCACCTCAACACCCCGGTTCTAAGTAAGACAGTCGCTTGCCGTACGAAGACACCAGTGATCATTAACACCTACGTGCATCAAACACACGATAATGGGTATGAAAGCCACCCCCAGGAACAACGTTGGGACTCGGGCCTTTAAACATTTACGTACGGAGACATCGACGATTATTAACACTTACGTGCATCAACACACAATAACGAGTACAAAAGCCACCCCTAGGAACAGTGCTGGGTCGAGCCTTAAGAAAGGGATTGTAATACATGTAGGAGCTATTACTTCGTTATCGTAGTGATGCCAAATGTCTCACGCGCCGGACCGCCCACAGTACACCCACCCACTGATGTCATACCCCACCGACTCCCTTGACGTCTGTCGCCGTGAACCGATGCGTTCGAACGCCCGGTGTGTTGTTTCGTGGTAAACGATCGAGATAACAATATTAAAGATAGCGAGGGGGCGCCACTTGGTTTGTCTTCCGGTTGTCAAACTCGGTTTCGCTCGTTCCTTTCTGTCGCCATGGCCTTCGCGAACTCTGTCCTCCCCAAGGGTGGCGGCAAGAGCCCCTCTCCCGGCCGCCTCGCTTCTGTCTACAGCGAAGTGCAGACCGACCGTCTCCACCACCCGCTCCCTCTCCCTTCCGTTCTCAAGGGCCCGTTCAAGCTCCTCGATGGCCCCCCGAGCTCCGCCGCCGGCAACCCAGGTCGCCCTCCCGACTCGATCTCGCTGGCCATTGCGGGGGATCGCTTTAGATCTCGCAGATAGATGGAGGGGTTTTTAAGATTCGGGACAGTAAAGTTGTTCTTCCCCTTGATAATGCTTTGATGATGTTGATGCTTTGTAGATGAGATCGCCAAGTTGTTTCCTAATATGTTTGGTCAGCCATCGGCAAAGTTGGTGCCGACGGGCTCGGTTCCTGCGGATTTGCCCCAAGGTTTGAAGATCGGCGTCGTCTTGTCTGGTGGCCAGGCTCCCGGTGGACACAATGTCATCTCTGGGGTCTTCGGTGAGCCACTCTCCCGGTGCCGCTAATTGCTTTGTTTGTTCATTTCGTTTTGTTTACTTCAAGTGGTTTGTTGTAATTATTATTTATTTTCCTCTTGGAATGTGTTAGATTACCTACAGGAACGCGCTAGGAGAAGCACCTTGTATGGTTTCAAGGGAGGTCCGGCAGGGATTATGAAGTGCAAATATGTGGAGCTGACTCCAGAGTTCATCTATCCTTACAGAAACCAGGTATTTGATTCATCGTTGATGTTTGTATTGCCAAATACTTTTCACTGAAGAGGGAACCTCGATATGGATATTCTATGAACTTAATAATTGTTTCCAGATTGCAACATATTACATGTTAAATTGACAGTGATATTTGACTGATGCTATCAAGGGTCTATTAGCGGAAATGAAAACAAAAATCACAGAATTGAAAGCTCGTGACAACTATTAGCGTTTCTTCTTATTCCATTGTTGAGGCAATATAGCTAATTTTGGAATATCTTTTCTTAGCTTATCTGGTTGAGGCTGATATCGTGCTTTCCTAACTGAAGGATGCTGCCCTTCGTACGTGGCCCACCTTATTCGATGCAAAAAGCACAAGGTTAACTATATAATCAGTGACAAAGGCTGCTTCCTGATAACAAGAGATTGAAGTTTTTTGATAACAATATGGTCTTGGTGAAATAGCAAATATTTATCTGGCCTCAAAATTTCTCAAGTTAATGATAGGAGAATTGGCATGTTGGTGTGATTAAATTTACCAAGTGCTGAGCTTAGCTTTGAGATATTGATTTGTTGCTCCTATTGCTTGGTAGTGGTGTCAGTTTTATGAAAGCAAATTCTGTAGTTTGAGTCATTTTGATCCCTTTGTTTGCCCTCTAACGATCTGGTTAGCATTATGTTGAGGACTCATACAACTTCTTAAGCAAACAAATTCATTGTTGGTAAAGTTCATAGTTAGCTTTTCGTTTGAAATCTAAGATTTATAGATTTTTTAGATGGAACATATCTTTATTTCTCGTAACAAGTACTTCTGGGAAAAAAAAGTAAAAGTAAAGTATTTTTTTAATTCTTCTTTAATTTTCTTGATTATAAGTAATTTTATAAGTAAAACTAAAGCTAAAATTATGTGCGCCCTAAGAGCTTTCTAAAATCATGAACTTAACTGTCAATTGTGAAATCAGTAGGTCGATTCATTTCATTGCATTTTGCAGCCTTTGATGTCCCCCATCCAATGAAGTAGGGGTATTAATTGTCCAGTTGAAACCAACAAATATAATAAATTAAAAATAATGCTAGGCAGTGTTGTTTTGTTAATTCTTAGGGAAAAAAATGGTTCAATTAGAAAAGAATTGAAAAGTACGGTTTATGAAACTAAATCGAGAAGTACTACATATATGTGTTGTATATTTAATATACTACTTTTTATTTTTTTTCTAATAAGTAATAAATAGTTTAAAGTTTATTATAGTATTACTTTTACTCCAGATATTGCTAGACTATTTCTCGAGCTTCTCTTAGCTAATTTGACCTGAACCATGTGCAAAACAGGAGCAAAGCCTGATCTTCTGGATTGGCTTACTTTTCTGTGTATATGGTGACTTGGTTTTGTCTGGCTTAGAATTCTAGTGGAACCAGAATTTTTGGTTTAATTTGAATGTATTATCTATTCTCCACACCCCGCACAATCCCATTTGACAGGAGAAAAAGATCTCTATGCTGCAACTTTTTGATATGTGGCTAAATCTCAGTTTTTATGATGACGATAGTAATTGGCAGGTCAACTTCTACTGGAAGCTATTAGATTGGGAACAATTTTGGTAACATGTAGGGGTTTAAATGGATATGTTCTGGATGAAGTGTTAGTCAAATATCTTGTTGCATGTGTTTAACAATGATGATACCAGGAAACATGAAATTAACTAGATACTTTCATTTTGAGGTATGCCAAACAAGAATTCAACTAGTTAAGCAACAAATCTAAACCTCCTAGTGAAAAATTTTGTGAATAAAAGCTAAACATGCCTTGTGCAAGAGGATCATGCATCAGAACATGATGGTGCAATCAATTTAAAGACTGTAATTTTAGTAGATGGATTACCTTTAGAGAAGGAAAATTAAAATATGGAAATATGGATAAGGATACTAGGATTTTGAGATCTAATCTACTTCCGTTTGCCATACATATTGAACTTTTGCTCTATGATATCATGTTTGTAATAATATTAAAAAAATTCCATGACAATTATATCAGTAATATTGTGCTGGTCTGGTACTGTATTGACATCCCAATACATAAATTGTACTAACTGGTATTCACATATGAAAGAATATCATAGAATTTTTTTTATTGGTGTATGAAGGCAGTATCTTGTTACATCAGATTGGTCAATTTGTGCCAGTCGAATAAGATACAAATGTGATACCTATTTAAAAATCTTGTTGATATGCATAAACCACATTGTTGCCATATTTTGGCATGAAACATATTACTCCTTTATGAGTTTGCATTCTTCGTGGTTATGCACACAGTTTCCACTTACCTTCATGTCTTTGTGAATGCTGAAATTATCTTTTAGTATAACATATGTATCTCATAAGTAAAAATTCTGTTCTCCACTTTATAGCAATATTAATAATCTTAAATTTTGTTTGGAATAGGGTGGGTTTGATATGATCTGCAGTGGAAGGGACAAGATTGAAACCCCAGAACAGGTGCTTCTTGTTGTTTTCCTTAATTTATTTGTCTAAAAAAGTAGTTTGACAAGTTCTTTAGATTTTCTTTACATTTTTTTATTATATGTGCTCATTATAATAACTTTGAGTAACCAGTGATGTCTGTGTTTGACATTTCATTGCATGCTTTTATGTATCAGTTTAAGCAAGCGGAGGAGACAGCTATGAAACTCGATTTGGATGGACTTCTTGTTATCGGTGGAGATGACTCCAATACGAATGCATGTCTCCTTGCTGAAAATTTTAGGTAGGACAATGAAACAAATTAATAAAATTATAATGTTCCAAACTTCCAACCATTATGATGTTCTTGATGGTTTGTTTTACTCTCCAATTTGTCCACTTTGTATAACACTGGAATGATTAGGCAAAAGAATATGAAAACTCGGGTTATTGGATGCCCAAAAACAATTGATGGAGATTTGAAATGCAAGGAAGTTCCAGCAAGTTTTGGATTTGACACAGCTTGCAAGGTCAAACATTGTTCTTTTTTATTTTCTTTTTCATTTGTGCTGTGGTATGTGCCTATTTAGGGAAGCAAGATTCTTATGTTATGATGAACCAATAATTGGAACTTTTGTTATAGGCTTGTAGCTTCTGCTTATATTTAGTGACAGTGCGACACCACATGGTTGTTCTGTTTGCCTTTTATCATGTAAAACATGTAAAAGCCTCCTCTCTTTTTTGTTGAGCGAACTGTTACTTTATGTATTGGAGAACCACACCTGAATTGAGAATCTGAGGTTGGTGAATAATGTTTCAGGTTACATGCTGAACATTTGCACCAGTGAAGTGAAAATTATTGTCAACCTAGGTGCAATTTCAACGCTATTTACAAATTTAAATAGATCTTCTAATAATTTTGTCACTGATAACTGTAAAATGATATTTCCTCACCAGTTATCAACACAGTTCAACTTGCTAACTTTACTGGTTACATACATATGAATGCATACTTAACAAAGATGCAAAATAATTTAACTTCTTAGTCTGCCACTGGAGATTCTCTCATGCTGCCACGTGAATAAGAATAAAATATTCATTCTTAGGCAAATCTATGTCCATCTATTTTTTTCCTTGCAAAGTTCTCTCAGTGATTTTTACTTGCTTTGCAGATATATTCTGAAATGATAGGAAATGTCATGACTGATGCACGGTCAACTGGAAAATATTATCACTGTAAGCTAATTATGCTCTACAACTTGTTATTTAGTTATTATATGTTGCTAATTTTCTAGTTACTACATACTAGATTGGTTAATTGTAAGGAAATTCTTTTTACACCCATCTGATAAAAAAGAGCTTTATGTACCCACTGATCTCTCAAAATTCCCTTCATGATGCGGTCCACTCCTTTTGTGTTGTCAAATTTCCGTCTCATCAAGGTTTTTGTTAAGTATGTGAGGGTATGGGAATTGGGAAACATGTCTGTTGATGTTAGTGAAACTTCGCATGGTAACTGATCTGCATGATCTGGTCTAGTTTGAAATAGCCCTATGGAAGTTTCAGTCTTTTCTTTTATCAATTTTGATCAGTCTCTTCCGTCAGTTTTGATAAGCAACTGATTTCAAATTGTTCCTGCTCAAATATAACCCTAGTCCTTCGAGGTTGTAATTTTTAAATGTTATCATTATCATTTTTTTCCTTGCATTTCTGCTTTGTATGATTGACCTACAAGATTTTAGTTAGCCCCTTATAGAAGAAAACGCTTGATGCATAGGCACATTAAACAGTACAATTTGCAAAAGTTTGTTTGTCCTGTCCTTGCTAATCTTCAAGTTACACTTGCTTGATTTCTCATACCTATGCTAAATGATTTGATTTCTGTTTGTGCAGTTGTAAGGTTAATGGGGCGTGCTGCTTCTCACATTACATTGGAGTGTGCTTTGCAAACACACCCGAATATTGCTATCATTGGCGAAGAGGTGCTTTCCTTGATTTTAGATGTTATGTTCAAGGGTAATTTGACAAAATAACTTATGTTATTGATTTTCCTCTGCCAAATGTTTGGCAAATTCCATTTCCTTAGTTATATGATTTGTCACCTTTTGGATAGAGAAGACATTCATTTGTTGTGCTTCCTCTATTTGAAACCATGGTTTTAATATGGCCAGGTATGGTATGTAACTAACGGTATTTTCTAATCTGGCAGTCTATCGGTAAGTGGGCTAAGGTAAACCAGATGGATCAAGCTGATATGAGGCATATCATTCTATATGGGTCTCGTACCATCCAGTGCGGCCCTTGTACTTGCCTTGTACCATTTAGTATGGGACTCCTATTGGGCTTACTGCCCAGTATAGGCTTGGTAAAGGTTTATACCGGGGTCTTACCCTCCTTGATTTGAGTAGCCAACTAGTTGTTGAGGCCTTGTCCATGCTATAAACCAATGTTTGCCATCTCGTACTGACCAGACATACTGGTCCCTGGGTGTATTTTTTTCTCTCTTTAAAAGTTGACCTACAAAAGTAGAGATATTTCATACATTGATTAAGATTGAGAAACTTAGTATGACAACAGCACACAAAGGCCTACTATCTACTTGAGAGTTGAGACAATAATAAATACTTGGTTTTGACAACGATGATACCTTAAACTCCTTCTGATTGTTGCATATAGAAAGTGCATTTCTGATTGTTGCATGTAGTATTCTATGTTTCATTTATAACTTAAAATGTTGTATGCTTTGTTGTATTTGCTAAGGTCCCTCTTTTGCTTGTAGGTGGCTGCCAAGAAGCAAACACTCAAGAATGTGACGGACTACATTACTGACATAATCTGTAAGCGTGCAAAACTTGGCTACAATTATGGTGTCATACTTATTCCAGAAGGATTAATTGACTTCATTCCTGAGGTATTCAAATTTTATTTAATTTGATTTGATGTTTTAAATTTTATAATTCATAAATTGATTTATTTTGTATTCCCTTGCACTCATTTATTTGTTTATATATCATCATGAACTGGAGTGTTGATATGATTGTTCTCTTTTTATTTTTTAGGTTCAGCAGCTTATTGCAGAATTAAATGAAATCCTAGCTCATGATGTAGTTGACAAAGAGGGATTGTGGAAAAAGAAACTTCAACAACAGTCTCAGCTGCTATTTGAATTCCTTCCCCAAGCAATCCAAGAGCAGCTGTTGCTAGAAAGAGATCCACATGGAAATGTACAGGTAAGGCAAACTGCAGAGTACCAATATTAAGTTATTTCTTGATCTTTGATGAGAAAAAAAAGGGTTAGTTTTTTTCCTCTTCATGGCATTTTACTATTACGTGGTCAGGTTGCCAAAATTGAAACTGAGAAAATGCTTATCTCCATGGTCGAAACTGAATTGGAGAAGAGAAAGTCTGAGGGTACATATGCTGGACACTTCAAAGGACAATCCCACTTTTTTGGGTAAGAGTATCCTTATTAATTATTGAATTGGTCTGATTTGAATGGTGGACTTAAGTTTACTGCATTGTTAAATGTTGTCTTACTGGGCATCATGGTGACGTTGCTCCAGCAACTTGAGTGTTGTGGATTAGAATAACCAGCTTAGTCTCTTTGCAAGCAAGGAATACATTGGACTTTCTTCAGAGTGGAAGCCTTGTGTGCTGACCCTCTCTTATTGTTGGGTTGATAATCCTCATGCCACTCAATAGCAAAATTTTACTCACAAATTTTGAGGTTGTTTTGATAACATTGTGAATTAACATTAATGCCAGATGTTTTGTTATTTTATGTTGCTCTAGTTTTGATTTAGGGATCTACGTTTGCAGATATGAGGGAAGATGTGGCTTGCCTACAAATTTTGATGCCGCTTATTGCTATGCATTGGGTTATGCTGCTGGAGCTTTATTACATTCTGGGAAAACAGGCCTCATATCCTCAGTTACCTTCGCTTTCATTCTTATTTCAGAGAACTTTCTTTCTTTTTCTGTTCTAATAATTCATTTTCATGCACTGACATTATGAAGTACTGTCTAGGAATTCACTTGATACATACTTGCATACATATCTACATTTTAATATCGAGAGTTGTGCTAGTATCCTATTGGTAGGATTGAGCCCTCAATCCAACCAACTGAAAATAAAACTTGGAGAAGTCAAATTGAACATCAACTCTATCAAAGATAACTACAGCTAATACATTTAGATGACTTTAAACCAGAAGGTCCCTTTTTGAATCTATCTGGCTTGTGTTTAATTAGCTGCAAATGGAAGAAATTTGATATGAGTAGAAGATACCAAAATTTGCCACTCAGCAGACAAGTAGTTGATGAATAGAGCAGAAATGCTGACAAATTGAGTTTTTTTGGAAATTTAATTAGCTAGATCGGGTCAAGTAAACCTGTACAATGGAACTAATATTGATTGCTTTCATTCAATCTGACATGAAAATTGTAGCTTGGAGTTGATATGGGCCAAATGCACTTGGTACAATACATTGTTTGGCTACTGGTTTGAATGTGCCAGGTATCACACACCAGAATTCCTGAAACTTGGAAAGTACTTTGATTTGATTAAGGATACAAATTATTTTTTTATCAAAGATTATTCTTTTGGATTTTATTTGAAAACCAAAAATTTCATGATCAAGTGCTCTATTGGCTTGTTGAATGTGCATAGGTATTCTCAAATCACATGATTTTTTGGTTCCTAGTATCAGTGGTTTGATTATTGCAGATCATCTTCTATGAATTCAATTTTTAATGTCAGGCGCATAGTTTTGATTTGGATTGGTAGGATTGAGGGCTCACTTCTGTGATAAGATAACAGATCAGCTAGTGCACTATTTGGTTTTGCCTGCACGTTTATGATGTATATGATGGAAATCATGAAATCAGGACTATGGAGCATATCACTCTACAACTTGAGCATGAGCCTTCTGTTAGCTATTTTAATTTAGGACTTTTTCTATGGATGATTGATGGAGGAATAGCGATGCATGGGTTACTTAATCATTTGATAAAGTTGCCTTCCATCCAATTATCACTCCTTGCATAATCAGCATGATGTTTGCTTCTTTTAATTTCGACGACTTGGTTTTTGACTTAATTAAACCATATTCTTAGTCATAGTTTGTATATTTCTAGAAAAATGATGCAAGGGTATGCAAATGTTTTCCTTGTATGTCAATATTTATTGGGATTCTATTATGCTAAGAGCTTAAGAGTCATTATTATCGAAAAAAATCATAACTTTAAATGCTGAAACATAAAAAATGAATTGTGAAAATCAAGTCACTTTTCAGTTATTTATTTATTTATTTTTGATAGGACAAGATCATGCTATTCTTGGTCATTTCAGATGATTGCTCTTGTTGTTATGAAAATTGTATCAGATGTTGATGGTAGATCTTATCTCGATATGAAAAGAAAATTCTTCCTGCAAATTCTTCTTGTAAATAGTGTGTCAAATTGGGTAGAGATTTCCAAACTTCACTCATATTAGAATTATTCTGGAACAGTTATATGTCTGACATTCTGGTCTCCACAAGTTATTGCTGTTGACATCGTAATAACTAATAAGTTGTCTGTAGGTGCATCTGGTAGCACGAGAATGAATCTGATTCAGCTTATCTACTTGACACATGTTTTGAATAAGGTCTATCTTGAACTTGATTCCTATCAAATCCTAACTTGTCTAACCTATCAAATCGGATGAATTTGATTCAACCTAGAATCTGTTTAAGATTCTGACCCAAATCTGTTTGTGGAGAATGTCACATTATGTTGTGGAAGATGCCTTCATTTATTTACATGGTTTATCTGAAAGGAGTGTTGCCGAGTATCTTGTTATGTTATTGTTTTTACACCATATACATATATTATTATTACCTTTAAAATCATCTAGTTCTAGCTGACATAACTAACAATGACTAAACCCATCACCCTGGCTTTCAGTCCTCCTAGTTTAGTTGGATTCGTTTCAACTTAGATCAAGAGCCAGACTATGCCAGGCTTTTGTGGTCTAAATCTTGAGAAAATCTGACTGATTTGCAGTCGACTGATTAATCATCTTGGCACTTTGAAATTGCCTATTAGTTAGAAATATGAAATGTTAGTGTTTTGTGTACTTTTCTTATTTTACCAACTCACTATTCCCTATTCTTCATGTTAGTAGGGCAATTAATGGCATTATACCTTTCCTTGTTGCAAATTGCCAACGAGTTTACGGAATTTGCCACTGGGAGAGTTGTTCCTGGTGGCTTCTTTGAAGCCGGTGACTTCTTGGATAATCATGGGACCTAATTTGAGATAGAATTAGCTTAGTAACTTCAGCTAATTTATTTTATTCGTCTGGTTAAACAACTTTTATGTGCTCTTTTGTTAAAAAGAAACAATCAAATGTCCATTTTCTAGGTTTTGGTAACTCATTTCTTGTCTATCTACTTCTAGGTTGGCAACTTAGATGCCCCCATTGATGAATGGACTGTTGGAGGGACTGCATTGACTTCATTAATGGATGTCGAGAGGAGACATGGTATATCATTCTTCTTTCATTCTCTCATGAATGCATAGTATAGGTTCATTGTCTACCCTTCTAGATTTCCATTACAAATCTGTAAGTTTCATGTTAAGACTGAGCTTGTTTGTTAAGCAACTTTTCCCTACATTTTGTGCCTTAGATAGCTCAGTAGCTGTCCATGCGGACTCCCTAATGTTATATTAGCTCTTCGAGTTTTCTTGATCTGTTTGGATTGTTTGTTGGGTAAAGTTCCAAATTGGAAACAAGAAACTTTACTTAAAACATACTCAATTATACTTCTCATTTTTCAACATACAGTATTGACAATGTAGAAGCAGACAGCCTTTTTTTGGTTTTTGAAGGCATCCTAATTGGCTAGCCATCATGATAGTCATTGTCCGGACTCCTTAAACTAAATTTCCTCTTCTTATTGTTAAGCAGACTTACCTCACTTCAACAACTTTCTATCTCAATGTGACATCTCCATTATACTAGCCTTTTGAACAATTTCTTAATTGTCCTTATTCTTAACGTATGAGTGGTCTCATAAACAAACTTTGCAATACCAGATGGTATTTACTGATTCGATAGGTTATTGATAGATAGAGTCCCAATGATTTAAAAAACGCCTAGCGCCAAAGGGTGCTAAGGTCCAAAAATGCCCGAGGCACTAGCCCGAGTGAAGCGAGGCACTAAAATATAAAAATATATAATATAATTAATAAATATAATTATTTAAAATAAAAATATGATATTAAATTAAAAAAATATTACAAAATCACAATATCACATTAACATAAAATCTCAAAATTTAAAACAATAACAATAATTTCAAATAAATAAAAATTAGCAGTATTAAAATCAAAATAATATATTATTAATATAATAAATAAAAAAATATTGTTATTAGTATATAGTTAACGGTATACTATTAATATACTGTTAACAGTATATTATCGAGTCGATGTGCGAAGAGATAGCAGCGAGCAACGGCAACGGGAGCGGGAGAGGTGAGCGACAACAATGGCAGTCGTAGCGGTAGCAGCAAGAAGCGATAGCGGCAACGGCACCGGGAGCGGCGAGCGACGGCAGTGGTAGCGATAGCGGTAGCAGCGAGTAGCGGGAGCGAGAGCGAGAGCAAGAGCGACGAGCGGTGATAGTGGCAGCGACAGCGACGACGGGAGTGGGAGCGACGAGTGACGATAGTGGCAGCGGCAACGACAGCGGTAGCAGCGAGCAGCGGCAACGGGAGTGGCGACAGTGGCAGTGGCTATGATGAGCAAGGTTAGGGTTGGGAAGTCGCGAGAGGAAAGCTGATATCGGTGCTTTAGTTGGTTCAATTGAACCAACTAAAGCATTGGAGACCGAACCAGACCTAAAATGTCGGTTCGGTCGCCTGGTTTAACCCAGGCGCTCGCCCGAAGTGCCCAACGCCTAGGCTCGGGTGAGTGCCCAAGTGGCACCTCTTTGAAGCGCGCCGCCTGGAAATTAAGCGAGGCCCTCAGGCCTCGCCTCGCCTCGGTCGAGCGCCTATTGAAATCACTGAGATAGACCATGGTATTTTTCCTTTTTTCCAGTCTTTTTTAGTTGGGTGTACCACCCGATACAGTTGATACAGGATTGTTACTGTCTAGTTGATACCGCTCGGTACGGGACGATACAAATACTATAGGGAGCATTTTTTTTTACTTTTTCAGTCTTCTTTAGATTTTTTATTGAAACTCGGTATGGTACCCATCCGAACCTCCATTACAGTACACGAAATTGTGAACTTGCTCATAGCAATGTTGTAACTTCTTTTTAGAAGTTTCGAAAGATGTTATCCTGTTAACTAAATGCAATAAGCACACCTGTCCACTTAACTCATGACACTTATTTCATAAGCAATTTGATAAATAATAGACATAAGGCATCAATAATTTTTATACTTTTTGACCTTTTACCTTAGGATGTGTATATACCCTATCATAATGCTGCTGATTTTGAGATCTTTGGCCTTTTGATGTCTTTGTTCGTGGTTGTACTTCTAATTTAACTACTTGCCAGCCTGTCTATCAATTTTATCTCATCATGAAACAGCATGGATTTTGTTGAATTGACAGCATTGATTGAAAGTTGTTCATTGGCTACAATTGGCCTACAGGTAATCGGCAATGGCCACCAATAAATCTCAGTAATCATTTTTTGGTGATCACCAATAGTAGGTGTTTTATTTAAATGATATATGGTCTATTTATGATAAGTTACACCAGCGATCACTTAAACATAAAATAACCACCAAAAGTTTAACATGATAAAGTTGCATTTTTTTGTTTTACTTGAACCATTTAGGGGCAGCCAATAAGCACTTTGGATGTTTTAGCTGTGACATGGACAAGTTATACTGGAAGGTTCCTTCCAGAACATTATTTTACAGTTGCTTGATTCCGTTGTGTGCTTTTGTATTCTCATGAAACACGAATGTGCCTCCAGGTAAGTTCAAGCCAGTGATCAAGAAGGCAATGGTGGAGCTGGAAGGTACTTCTCTCACTGATTAAGTGATTGAAATTACTTCGATCATTGTACACTGTATTTTGGTCAATTTTCCTTTGGATGAAGCTAATATTAATCCCCATGAAACCATTCACTTCAGGTGCACCATTTAGAAAGTTTGCATCCATGCGAGATGAGTGGGCTCTCAATAACAGATACATTAGCCCTGGTATCATCTCTCCCTTCTATGTCAATTCTGTTGTGTGCAGAGTGCAAATTATTGTGTAGAACTAAATGTCCATTCAACTTCTATGCAGGTCCTATTCAGTTTATTGGTCCAGGATCCAACAATGTTAATCACACCCTACTTCTGGAACTTGGAGCCCAGGCTTAGGCATTGTAGAAACTCCTTAACGAGGATTTTTCTGGAGGACAAATGTGATTGTCGTTCATCGTTTCCCCTTATTTTCAAGAAAAGGGTGAATAAATGTTTTTGAGAATCAACTGTTCGTTCTTGTTGCATCTGTTATTATCGCTCAGGATCTTAATGGTAATCAATTTAGTCAGATGCTGATATCACTGGCTTGTTTCTGGTTTCTGTTTAATAAGAATGAATAAATGACTTCAGAAAGTTTCACAAATTAGATGTTGCAGTCAATATCTATTGCTTTGTTTCTTTTTTTTACCATTGTTTGCGCTGATAGGTCAAAGAGGACATTATGTCAGTGAAGATTGCTAAGAAACAAGAGTTTGTTTCTTTTTTACCATGTGATGCCCACCTTTTCATACGATTGTTTATGTTCTTGCACCAGGGAAAAGAAATAAAAGGAAATTGGTAGAGAGCATGAACTTATGAAGTATATCATCATTGTGATGGATTAGAGGAGATGAACCATAGAGAGGGGAAAGTACATACTAGACGGCTAAAACACGAGGAGCAATGGCAGGAAATCATTAGGGTGACCTGATAGCCTTCAGAAACACAATATTAAGGCTTTAGTTACGTATTTCTACGTGTCTCAGATGTTATATGTATGGTATATCGATATCATTGATTTTATTATTTATATATATTTTTTAAAAATATTAGTTTCTAATTTATATTTAAATCATAAAAGGGTTATTATTTTGTTAGTATCTTATTTTTAAAGCCTTAAAGTCGATCACGTGCATCCCTCCATCCATATCTGGGAGGCATCGTCAATCCACCTAATCAACAACTTTGATTGACCGAATCACCCTTACCGTATGGACCCAAAAACACGCATACTTGAGGGCATTTACGTCAACACATTTTTGGGGAGCGCGCGGCAATGTCAAATTTTGAATCCCCACGGGCGGCGGGCGTGCGAGCCGAAGAAGAGAATACCAATTCCCTCCCATATCGCCAAATCCGCGCCCTTTTAACGGCCGCACTAGCTACGGTCCTCTTCTAATCAAGCGCTCCAGTCTCTGTCTCTCTTCTTCCTCCTGTCTTATTCTCGATCAAGAAGAGAAACCAAAGGGATGTCTTCTTCTCCCTCTCAGTTCTTGGATTCTGGGTCGAAGCATCACAGCTACTGCCGGAAGCAGAAGTCCTTGGGCGTCTTGTGTTCCAAGTATCAACTCTTTTATCCAACTTTCCTCTCCTTTTCTTTCTCCCTCCTGAGTTCTAATTTCGTTTCCGTCTGTTCGGATGGTGAAGTTTCGTGAGCTTGTACGATCGGGATGGCGTCGAATTGGTGGGTCTCGATTACGCTGCAAGGCAGCTTGGCGTCGAGAGGCGGCGGATCTACGATATTGTCAACGTTATGGAGAGCGTCGGGGTGAGATCTGGTCCTTCGGTGCCTTATTTTCTTTGTACAAGTGTGGGCTTGGATTTCACGCGGATCATTTTTGGTGCGTGGATAGGTTCTTGCAAGGAAGGCGAAGAATAAGTACTCTTGGATAGGGTTTTCGGGGATCCCAAAGGCATTGAAGGAACTCAAGGTCCGGCCCTCAAGATTATCACCTGAAGCTACCCTTTCCTTTCTTTTCCTTGGCTTGCCCTAAATATTTTGTTCTGTTCATATCCTTTGTCTGGAGCAGGAGGAGGCGCTGAGGGCAATCTCCGGCTCTGATGGCCCATGTGAAAAAGTAGGCTTAATGTTGATTTTGCACGTCTCTTGTTATGACTGAAAGCTGACATCTCGTGTGCTGAGATGGTTATTATTATTATTTTTTGTTTCGATTGATTGTGTGAGGAAGGAAGTTCTTGAGGATGAAGATGACGACAGTGAAGGCCAGAATCATGATGACGGGGATGAGAAATTTAGCAAAATGGATAATGCTTCTTCTTCTTCAGGGAATCATATTAGCAAGGCCCGATCTGGTATACATCTTTGAACTGCTTGCTTGTTTCTTGTGTACTTCTGCTAGCCGCGTTTTGTGAAGTACAAGAATCGCTTCTGTTCCTGATATTGAAATTGTTTTTTTTTTTTCTTTCTTAATGATTCCTTGTTTATTGCTTCACCAGCTACCGACAACAGGAAGGAGAAATCCTTGGGCCTGCTCACCCGGAACTTCGTGAAGCTTTTTCTAACCTCAGACGTAATCTCCTTCACTTGTTGCATTACACTTTGGTTTAGGTTCTTTACATTGGTGCTTACTGATTAGCATTGCAACATTGATTAGGTAGACACAATCTCACTTGATGAAGCTGCAAGACTACTACTCGGTGATATCAGCGACCTATCTAATATGAGAAGTATCTGCCAACCTCATTTGATCTTGTTTTCTTCAGTGTAAATATACCTTTCGTTTTTTGGATTTACTTTTAATTACTTAGGTTACAATGCAGCAAAGGTTCGACGTCTGTATGACATAGCAAATGTGTTGTCCTCCATGAGTTTAATCGAGAAGGTACTATTTTGGCATGCATATCTATAAGAAATGGAATAGAAGAATCGCATTCTTATCTATTGTCTTTTTGCCTTGGTTAAATTTACGATTTCAGATACAAGTTGAAGCTAGGAAACCAGCCTTCAGATGGTTGGGAACAGAAGGCAAGCCTAAGACGGATACTGGTGGGACATTTGCTCCTCCCCCAATTGTAAAGCCGTTGAATAAGAGAGCATTTGGAAATGAGATCACTAATGTAGACATGAAAAGATCTAGGTTGTGTTGTACAGTGAGTAAGAAGCCTGGCAAGGCACAAATGAGGAGTGATGACTTGAAGGAATGCAATTTGACAGCACAAAAGCAATTGATCACGAAGAGCGGGTATGTTTTTGGTCCCTTCTGCCCTGCTGGGATGACAAAAGTGGATGGTGATGTTGAGGGAAAAGGTGAGAGAAGTGCACAAGATTGGGAGAGCTTGGCATGTTCCTTGCGTCCGCAATATCACAACCAAGGTTTGCTCCATGTACCTTGATGTCTTTAACTATCTGCAATTTTTTTCCTGGTTTAATTATGCTGAAGCATATATTGCTTGGTAGTCTTTTGATGCTTCAATTTGTTTGTGTTGCTGATTTTCACTGTCATTAATCGGATATTTTTCTTTTCCCAAGTAAATGTTTCAACTGCTTGTCATACATGATTTCTTCGCCTGGTGAATCTACAAAGAGATCTGATTTTGCATACAAAAAAAAAAAACTATTTGTGCATTTCCTATTGATTTAGGCGCACTCTGCTTTAGTGACCATTTATCAAGGAAAGACAGTCTGTTTCTTATTCTTTGATAATATTAGATGTGACTAAAATGTAGGATTAAATTTCCTGTCCTCCTTAGTATGCTGATTTCATTCTCAGAGGATAAACCATATTTTGCATTGTCATGTATGTTTCATTCTAGATATGTACCATCAATGTTTCTGTTTAATATTAATGTCTATTTATGATACTGAATTATGATATTATTTTCTGGAAAAGTTGATGGGGTTTAAAAATATTTTTTAAATTGCTGAAAGGAAAATCTAAAAAGAAAATTGGATGTTCTTTAATATGTATTACATTGATTTTAGACATTCACATGAATATAACCAATACATTTTGGGTTTGCCCCTTCATACAAAAAAAAAGGGGTTAAATTTTACGAAATTTATTAAAAAACTAGGACATTTTTTCTACCGCTGATTTCTAAGTGCTGTTTATAATAAGCAAATTGCCAGTCCATCAATCTTGTCAACCAGTTAAATAATCAACATCCAAGTAGGGAGGAGCTAAATGTGCGTGGCTACTTTATACAACTTCAAAATCTCTAGTAAGCTGTGGAAAAATGACGAGGCCTTCAGGAATGGGCATTACTATATCCAATGATGTCATATGTCTATTCATTTTCTTTGTTAAATGTCGCTGTTAACTAGCTAGTAATGTCTAATCTCCTTTCCTTTGATCTCTAAATTTGTCATTCTCATAATTACCAAGCATGATGAACAGATAAAAATGTGCTGCAGTGGTGGTTGATGTTATAGTCATCAAACTGATTTACATGATTTTAAATGAAACGTGATTTGTATAATCTAGACATTGCACTAAAGCAAACATTTAAATATACCTGTTGCAGCACTGAATGAGCTTTTTACTCATTACATGGAAGCATGGAAATCGTGGTATTCTGAACTCGCTCAAGGAAGCTATAATTTGTGACAACCAAACTCGAAGAAACTTTCGTGGGCAAGTTTTACGACCCCGCCCCCCCCCTTTTTATTTTCTTCTTAGAAAAAAGGAATGCTTACATGACTGACCCATAAGTCTGTACAAGTATTTTTCTTATCAGAGCACATCCTTTGTTGTTTGTCGTTGATCTCTTGTATTTTCTCAGTACAGGGAGTGAGAGGGCTATCATTGATTTTCAAGAATTACACAGTTCATTCTGATTGATCTGTTATTGTCCTATCATTAAATCTCACATAATGTATGTCCGAAATGGATGCATGATGTGCGACTTTTTGCATTGTTTTTTTTGGAGATTATGAAACTTTCAAGGAAGCTGATCATGGGAAATGTGCAATGCAAGCATCGGTAGTGCTGAACCATTGTGTCGAGCAGGGTAGGATCTTATTTTGACTACTTGTGCATAGTATCCTGCATATGATTGTGCACAGTATCTTATTTTGAAATTATAAGGATTTCAAAATAAGGATCTCTATGTTCCGATTTATGGTATCCAAAAGTTCTAATATGCATAAACGTAAGTTATAAGATCTATAGTTTCCTTTTTAAACATTATTGCAAAGGCCATTCCGCTCTTTAAAAAAATATTATTATACATAGGGTGGTTTTTTGAATTTTTTTTGAACATTGTATTCTTTTTTTTTTCTGTAGAACTTTTTTATTATGAAAATTGCTAAAAAGTGCACCTCTCTTGATAATCTATTTGTCCATTTACCCTATAGGACAACTAAGTATTGTTTTTCTATCCAAAATAGTAAGGCTTTATTGATCGATTCGGGTTGAGATGGTTTAACATTTGAACTCTGTTAAGAAGATCTATAAAGAAATTGGTGCAGTATACGATGAGTTACTATCAATCATACTATGAGTGTTGATCTTGATAAAGAATCACAAACCGTTTTTTTCTTTGCTTTCTCTTTATTTCCTCGCATCGGTTGTTGTTTTTCTTGTCCATCTCATTATTCTGTCTTTTTCCTTTCTTCTTAATCAAGAAGATAAAAAAAGTCATGTAAACATATTGATTGCTTTAAAAAAATATTTATGTCATACTATACTTTCATGAAAATTTATATGCTATAACTCATTTTATTGTTATATTAATTTATTGATTCCAAAAAATAAAATTTTTAATTCAAATAATGTTGAATCGTATTGCTTGAATACGATTGTAACCAAAATGATAGTATGTTATTATATATACTAATTCCTTTCGTTGAAGATGATGATTGTTCATACAATGATCTATTTGTTGGTAAGGAATGATATTTTAATAATATTAAAGTTATTTTATTATTATTTTGATATATATATATATATATATTATTTTGTAATCAAAAAAATATTTTTGTACAACTGTTTGAAATAGGGTTGAATTTAAAAAAAAATATTAAAAACTGTCATTTAAAAAAATATTGAGATTAAACATAATGTAACTAGAAGTTATATGATAAAAGTAAAATGTAAAGTTTCCAATTGTCAACGGATGATAATAGTTCATGGTGGAACTGATAGTTTTCAAATTATTAAGTTTCTTAATGAGAACAATTGTAATTCATCAATTATTGATTATACTCCAAAGATGATTATTGTTGATATTTAAAGAAGATTTAGAGTTGTTTCATATAAGAAGACTTATCTTATATAGAATATTGCACTTAATGAGGTTCATGGTAATTTCAACCAATCATATATTTATATAATTTCATTTCTAATGGAGTTAAAAACTGTATGAATTTGAGATTCATAACTAAATGACTTTCATTAAAAAAATATTTTTTGAAAATATTTTTGACTTTCGAAGCTTGTCTTAGAAGTTTTAGATTATATATGCAACATGTTTTTTATATCCATGCAACACATTTATCAAGTGGATTATAATCAATTATTTTTAATTATATTTACTAACATAAATTGAGTGTAGGGATTGATGGGAATAATTCTTGCATCAATTAAGAATATATATTATAGGACGTGAAAATTTGATTATTATTAGTGATCAAAATCTAAATTTTTTTTTTTTAACTATGAAAGAGTTCTTTTCAGCAATATATCATGATTATTGTATGATTCATCTTTCTACAAATCGTGTAAACAATGTGCTAGATAGAGAGACTGCCAAGCTGTTTTGGGTTATTACTAGATCCCCTATTATACACAAGTTTATTGAATGCAGGTAAAAGTTGAGAAGAAATCGTATAGAAAATTTTATATGAATATTTGAAATTGAGAAGGATAAATGAGCTTCTTCATATTTTCATTATATAATGTTCACCACAAATATATCAAAAAGAATGAATTCATTATAAAGGATGTTCATGACTTATGATCGAAATGTTTAAAAGAACGGTTGCTGAATGACTCTACCTTTATCATGAAATAACTTTAAATTCAACTTATCGAGGTGAAGAACAAAGGTTAATACTATTGTGTTTTTCCTCGTGCCATTTATAAGTGTAAATATTCTTTGAAATAATTATAATAGATTTGGAGATAAAAATTATTTATATTGACATTTTGATATTTTAGGAATTTCATGTTCTCATGTTGTAATTGCTATTGGGTAATTTATATTCCTTTTGTATGAGAAGCAAATAATATTGGATATAATGAAAATATAATCATATCGTATTACCTCGGAGAATCATGGTGTAGGCTTGTTAGAAAAAAAAGAAAGAATTAAATCATTACATGGTGGTAAAAAAAAGAATAAGTGTTAAGGTTCCGACACTTATATGGATCCATCATATTTATATGGATCTATGATATTTATGTGAAAATAAGAAATAAAATGACACATAGTTTATAAGCTAAATAATATATATATATATATATATTTTGTTGATGCTGTAGACAATCAGCCTTCTCTCAAGAAATTTCATGTCCCTAAATAACTCAATTGAAGCTAATTAAATTGACATATCGTTACCAGTTGATGCTGCCATATGTGAGTATAAATGTCTGAGTACCTGTTTCCACTGGTTGATCGTCATCCATTTCGGGTACGTACGTGTTCATTGGGTGACTAGGAGAACAACGGGGGACCCACAGCTAAGATGGTAGATCTCTCGATTCGATTGGCGGGTGGGCGCCAGGAGAAGTGTGGTTTGCATTCGCTTTTACTTCAGGAGCATTCCCAGATCGGCGTGAGCCGATAAATCGTAGACCAGTAAAGGCCGTAAAAGAAGTGCCATCGCTTCCTGAAACCCCAGTATGGATTTCTTCTCCGGTGGTCGGCGCGTCGGGAGCGGGGGCGGCGGCGGCCTCCTCCCGTCCACCACCGCCACAGCCAAGGTGAAGCCAGCGCGCAAATCCTCCTCCGCGTCCTCGCGCCGCCGGGGCCGACTCCGCGACGTGCTCTCCCCGACTTCCACCTTCTTCTTGATCGGCCTCTCCATCTCCTTCCTCTTCTTCGTTGCCGTCGTCGTCCTCTACGGCGTCCCCAACCCCCTTTCCTCTTCCCACTCTAAGCACCGCATCGCCCGCCGCCGGCCCCTCCCCTCCGGCGGTGCCTCCTCGGATGGAGGTGGCGGCGGGATGGCAGGTGGCGAGATGGTCGCGGCGGCGGCCGTTGTGGATATCACCACCAAGGATCTGTATGACCGGATCGAGTTCTTGGACGTGGACGGCGGCGCGTGGAAGCAGGGATGGAAAGTGACCTTTGCGGGAAATGAGTGGGACGACGAGAAACTTAAGGTCTTTGTGGTTCCCCATTCTCACAATGATCCCGGATGGAGGCTCACGGTTGAGGAATACTACCAAAAGCAATCGCGGTATATTTTGGATACGATCGTTGAGTCTCTCTCCAAGGTAGGGGCATTTTTAATGCGTTCTCAACATGTCCATTTTGTTTTCCTAATTACTCCAAGCACTTTCAACTAAGTTATAATTTGGAGATCCAGCCTTGCATCTTCTCTTGTTTGTTGGACCGAATGTAGATTTATCGTATTCTGCGATCAATCTCATTTTCTTTGATGCACTTTTGGGGGATCTAAAAACTTCTGTTGCAGGATTCACGTCGTAAATTTATATGGGAGGAGATGTCATACTTGGAGAGATGGTGGAGAGAGGCCTCCAGTGAAAAAAAGGAAAGCTTCATCAACTTGGTTAAAAATGGGCAGCTAGAGATTGTGGGAGGGGGTTGGGTGATGAATGATGAGGTAAGTCAACGATCTACATAGTTCCTTCGTTGCTGATTTTCAATGAGAAAGGTGCAAGGTGAAACATTTAACTGTCAGTGAGTTGAAATTAGAGTTTGTTCTTTTGGTAGAATATTAATTTATAAAATTAAGAGTTTCTGAAAATTGCAAGGGATTTGGTTGTTTTCTTTCAACTTGCCTAAAACATATATGTAAATTACTATATTCCAAAAACCATACTATGGACACTCGCATGGTGACCATATAATAGGCTTTCGATTCAATCATATCTGGTGCGAAAATTGAAAGGAATTTGGTTTTCTTTCAATTTTCCTAAAGAATGTGTAAATAAATATATTCCACAAACCATACTTTGGACATCTGATGCATAATAACCTTATAATAGATTATCTATTCAATCGTATATGGTATAAATGTCATTTTGTTTTTTTTTTTATTTCTTTTTAAAGTGTTATGGTGACTGAAATAAATTACAGAAGATATGCACTAAATTTGACCCTCTGACATGATGCTCCTTGTTGGTGTCAGCTGCAAGGCTTCAGTTGGACAACTTTTTCTTCCAGATATGATTTGTTTTCATAAATTTCACAATTGTCTTTAGGTCCCAAAAGTTTTGAGCATCATAAAGTTCTTATTTTTCTCTATTGTTGGTAATTTGACTTGCTTTTATTTCTTGTGGACCATTTGGCTTTATTGAAGAAATATTAGTGCTGATGGAACAAGGTGTTTCCATATTGTTAATTGATGTATATAGAAAAAATACTCAAATTATTTGCAATTTTCTCTATCAATTTCTTGCTGAAGATGTATATTATTCTGTTTTATGTCCTTTCTTACTGCTGTTCGCACCAGTGTTGTCCAAAGGTGCTCAGGCACCGGGCTGAGGTGCGGCAACAGCCTGAGCACCTGAAACTACTCCAAGCGAGGCATCTTTGTTTGGCCAGTACCTAAGCGAGCTCCTTAGCTTAGCCTGAGCCCAAGCGCCTGGGCATCCCAAGTGCTTATGTAGGTTAGCCTAGGTGCAGTTTCTAGCCAGGCAATCATCAAGGATTGCACCACTCTGTTAACCCATGCCCGAGACCAACACTAGTGCTAAGCCTGCACCACATGTGACCTGAGCTTGGATATCATGCGCAACATGAGCCCTAACCATGCCCTAAGCCTTGATTTCTTTGTCACCTCTCCTTTGTCCTCTCCGCTGTCTGACTTCTTTGTAGACAAGCACCTGATCCGTGATAACCTGCTCTCCACAACTGAGTGTGATCCTCCAATTTGAGCGACCCAAGCCAGCTACCACTCCATGTCGCCTAGAAAAGAATTGATTGCTGTCAAAGACAGCTTAAGTTATATTATTTTTCTTTTCCTTTTTTTGGGTCTTTTGCATCTCTTTTGTGCTCGTTGTTAAGAACACATCAGTAGCGAATTAAAATCTTAATTGATTGTATTTGTATCTTTTCTACCAATGTGTCCTTGATACACAACAATATTTCTATGTCAACATGTAATGAACAGTCACATGAGGCATTCATGCATCTACCATGAACAAGCAACCAAACTTGTTAAAAGCAATCTAATGGCTGATACTTCTCACAAATCTTTCCTAAATATTCTTGAATATGCTAGTTCAAATGATATTAATTTCATAAAAGGATAACTTCTGTGAGGGCTTCATTATCCTCCCGGATGACCTACCCAATGGTGGCGTCGGTGGCGATCCTCATCACCTGCATTGTCCTATTCTCCTGCTTCGCTATCCTCCCCTCCGGCTTTGCCTCATCACTGACGTTGTCGTCAGGTAGGCTGTTTGGGAGGATAGCGAAGCCAGAAGGAGGATAGTGAAGCTTTCACATATGTTATCATTCTGTGAAATTAATATCCTTTGAATGGTGAGGATAGCAAAATTATCTTTTTATCCCTATTTTTAGCACCATTTCTGCACGTGATAGCACGTGCCGTATCTTCCGTCAGTAGAGTTAACGGCGTGAGGAGAAATGGGGTTAAATGTTTTACTTTCGTAACTATAGAGATGTCAGTGTAACTTTATAAAGTCTAGGGACCAGGATGCTAAAGATAGCTAACTACAGGATAATCTATAATTAACCCCATTCATGTTCTTGATCCTTTATTATATATTTTTATAATATCTGTAAGATTAGTGTCTTGCTTTGCTTAGGCAAATACTTAGCACATCAGGCAACTTGGAAGATTGGCTTGTCAACAGCTAGCTCCTTGACAACACTGATTATATCAAGGATTGCTTGACTGCTTGAAATGGTATGGTACGAGTGATACATACGAATCTGGACGTGGGTCGATACGTGGACCACCCCCCTTTTCGGGCGGTTCGGTTAAAATATTATAAAAATTGAAAAAGCGGTGGGTCCTTATCTAACTCAGTGTTAAAAAAGAAAAAAACAAATTATGGTTCACGAAGGCGAGCCCTCTTCTCATGTACGATGCCATTGCCCTCACCGTTGTTGTTGTCGCCTCCGTTTCGTCATTGCCACTGTCGCTACTTCTTCTCCTCCTCTTCTTTCTCTTCTTCCTTCTCCACCACTTCCGCATATTCCTTCTTCCTTGTTCCTCCTCTGTTCCTCCATCGTCCCTTCCTCTTCACCCTCTTTTTCTTTCTCGTCGAAACACCAGCATGCACCAACGTACCTTGTGTCGGTATATCGGTACTAATTAGTACATGTCGGTTTGATAGATCGTTGAGACGGGTTCGGTACCCGAAATGGTGAACCTTCATTTATATATCTGGTTGTAGTTATGGTAGTTAGGATTAGAGAGGTGGAGAAAAAATCATTCATTTCAAGAGGTCATCTTGTTCATTTGAGAAATATATGGCCATAAAAGGTTAAGTTGATTTGAACTTAACCCTTTTAACCCTTAGTGATAAGTTCGTCTAAAACTAGGTTTTAAAAATTTTGACTCTTATTTTCTGTGGAGAGAACATTTCCCCTGTAAGGTTTTGGCTTTCCTTTTTTTCTTTCTGTCTTTCCATTTAATGTTCTTAAGGTCTTCATTATACTATCCTCATTGGTCATCTTTACTGGAGAAAACACTCGCCTGGGTGCTTATGTTGTTTTTGAAATTCAGTTTGTTACTGCATTTGGGTTTTCTGTTTTGAGATGTTCTTTTCTAGATTATAGTTCATGGTCTATAATTTTACCTAGTATGATATCAATATGAATTATTATAATCATTGCTAGTTTTATTTTAGAATTAAGATTTTATAAAGCTCATCTTTTTCCTTTTTTCTTTTGCAGGCAAATTCTCATTATTTTGCTATCATAGAGCAGGTATCTTTCTTAATCCTTTTAGGTTTATCTTTATTTATATTCTCATTTCTTAGAACTTTTCCTCATAAAAGGGTTCAATGGTTGGTGTATGTCTTTATGTGCTCTCTTTTGCTGCTAAGTCAACTTGGTCTTCTAGTCCAGCAGCAAGAAGTCAATAGTCGATTGAGTATTTGTCCATATCTCAAACATTTGTCTTAACATAATTCAAGTTGTTCTAATTCTTTTTGATAATACTGACTGACTGAGATCATATTATAACATGATTCACATTAGCTCTATGAACAAGCTAAACTGTTACACTATTTGTATGCTACTTGGGCTTTATTTCTGGATGTTCTCTCAAATCTATAAAAAGTGAAAACCGTTTGCATTTACAATCTGGTTCTCAGGATGAGCAACTTATTGCTTATATTCGCATAACCTGGTTGTGCATTCACCAGAAAATTTGAGTTCCCAGTCCTTTATAGTTTGTCTATTAACAAAGCATGCAAAATGAAACTTTGTAGGGCTTTTGTACTTCATGTATGCTTTTCGAGATAACATTGTTATTAAGTGATGTTGAACTTGAAATTCTTGATCAATATTTGGTTTTATTCATTTTGTTTTACATCATTTGTATTTGAGCATTATATATGATTGATGACTGAAATGATTATTGTGCTTAAGTTATTGTAATTTTTTATAATCTTCTTATTTGTCTTGAAACAGTGTCACTAATTTCTCTGGATGATAGGTTAGGGATGCTAGTGAATCTTTCATTATTGTTTATCATGCCCTACATTTAACTTAATTACCAATACCTATAATATAATATGTTATATTTTGAACAAGTTATGCTCTCATTGTTGTATCATATTACAGAATTTCAAGTATTGAAGTATCATATTGTGTCATTTCCATATTTTGTATGTCTACCTTCTATTCTTCACTTCTTTATCCTCTTAGTCTTGTTTTTCATCCTACAAACAGGTGGGCCTTAACCAAAGCCCCTAACTTCCTGCTCAATATGATATCAAATATTAATTTATGTGAAGTTCATAGTAAATCCTTGTGTCCATGCTAAACATGGATTAAGGTTTTGGGTATATGTAAATGCCACATACCGACTACCAAATCATATCAAACATTAAATGTTTATATCTTGGTAGCATAGGTAGGCATATCTAAGACAAAATAAATAAAAGAAACAAAGTAGATAGCCATCTTTGGTAGTGCTTTCGAGTGGCTCCTCTACTAGTTGACATTAAAAGGGAGGGCTGAGAATGTGAGTTTTGCAACAAAAATCTGACTGAACACCATATGCATAATATTGTTTGGGTTCGTTTTTACTAGTTGACACCAAAAGGGAGGGCTGAGATTGTGAGTGTTGCAACAACAATCTGACTGAACACTATATGCACAGTATTGTTTGGGTTCATTTCAAATGGTAAGCTACCATTTAATATAATATTTCAAAACTTTTGTTATTGTCAAATTTTCTGTTATTTACGTGGGTGCTCTTAGAGTTTGGGTCTTCAATAAACTTTGCTTTACTTGTCCCATAAATGTTGGCTAAGTACCCATGCAGAAAAGGTCTCTACTTGAATGGAAACTATTGTGTAGGAGATAGTGTGCAGTCTTGACATCTAGTCTTGTCCTCCTTCCATCCATGGAGAACTAACTTTCCTCTTCTTTAACATGTAGTCTTGACATTAACATGGAAACTATTGTGTAGGAGATAGTGTGCAGTCTTGACATGTAGGCTTGTCCTCCTTCCATCCATGGAGAACTAACTTTCCTCTTCTTTAACACGTAGTCTTGACATTAACATGGAAACTATCGTGTAGGAGATAGTGTGCAGTCTTGACATGTAGTCTTGTCCTCCTTCCATCCATGGAGAACTAACTTTCCTCTTCTTTAACATGTAGTCTTGACATTAACATGGAAACTATTGTGTAGGAGATAGTGTGCAGTCTTGACATGTAGTCTTGTCTCTCTCTATTTATACACTTGCCTTCAATTGTGTGCAAACCAGTACTATTACCAAAGTCATGTAATTAAATGCCTCCTATTGAGCATTTTTTTCGGAAAGGATGCCTCCTAGGGAGAATAAAGAGAAGACAAGGAGAATAAGAGAAGAGAGACTAGGAACTTGAGAACAGTATCGACCTAGGATTAAGATCTTAGTTTGGTACTGATATTGATTATCAAACTGGTTGGTACAGTATCAATTTATGCACCTGTATCATGTATCGGTATGCATTGACACCAACCTATATGGGTCAGTCTGGTCAGGTTAGGTCAGACTGATCTGAACCTATTAATTTTAATATAAGTATTTTCTTATATTTTTGGCTCAATAATGAATCAATTTATACACAAAGTGTACATTTATTAAAAGCTTGTAGATGTATTAAAGATGACAAATCATGTCTTACAAAGTAAAAATATTTTTTATTTAATTTAATATAATAAATTGTTAATGTTCTACTCATGATTCAATTGGAGGCAGTTTCAGATCAGTGATTCAATTATCGTTTAAGATTAAAATTTTGAAGAATCCATGCATGATAATATTCTCACAACATTTTGTATTAATATACTATGTGCCATTGATGTAGTAATAATCTTGGCCTCATCATTATTAATACAACTAGGGCATTAGGTTGAGTAGGGCTGTGGTAAGTATGTTCACATTGTGTAACTCTTGGTGGCACAACCTTAGATGCATTTTAAATCGAAATATATAAACTTCACTAAGCATCTATACGATGTGGTGTGTATTAATGAAAACATGGGCCAATTATGCTTGTGAACATTGGGTGACCTACTTTGTGGTAGGATTCACACTATAATTATCTTCAAATAGAAGTGGTCATTGCAAAGAACTAGCAAATTAATCATTGGTGGTGAAGTTGTACTACTACTAGTATACAGGGTTCAGGTAGTAAATTACATCAAGTCGACATATTGATTGATCATTATTAAATTGTGCATATTATAATTAAATAAAATTCATAAAGAATTGAAACTGTATTTTCCTTTTATCAATCATCTGAAGATTCCTAGACATCTGGGTGTCCCATTCAGATCTCTCAGGGACAAGAGAATACCTTTCTGATTTCCTCACTGGTAGTGTATAATATGATATATAGTTCCGATGCGATCTTTTTTTCCATGTCAACCTAGTGTAGGTTTATATACAGTGACTCTACGTTGACAATGACCTTACTGCATCCCATAATCTAGAGGACGATATGTGGTTTTCTCATCTATGAACTAGTAAAATAAGAGCTAGCTCAGACACTCATTGTAAGAATAGTCTTGGATCCAGTCATTCTCTATCTGGTCGAACACATTCAGTGACCCCTAGTCAGTTTTTATTGTGTCTTTGCATCAACTCATGTACCTAGTGATGATTATTGCCATTATCTTTACTAATGGTATGTTGCAAATGGCCACCATGAAGTCTATATAATGATCTATACATGGTGCTCTAAAAAGATGTGTTCATGGTCCATCACTTGTTTGTTGACTTTTTCGAATTTGCACTATTATTAGTCACCACGTCTTGCACATTGAAGATGAAATCTCACTATCGAGACTTAAAATGTGACCTCACACTACTCTCACATATTATGGATATTATGTGATAATATGTGATACTCTAAATCCAAGCTAGTTGAGAAAATTGAAGTAAAATGGAGCTATTTGAATGAGAAATTAAAGAACTTTATTTAAGTGAGGAGAGAAAACTATGGCTTTAAAAGACAAAGGAGGGGGGGGGGGGTGTGGGGGAGGGGGAGAGAGAGAGAGAAGGGTGAATTGGGTCAACCAAAGGGTGGGAGAGATAATGTCATTGGGTCAGTAGGTCTACCACCTGGTATTATGTGAGCATTGGCTAGTTCTGAGTATATTAGGTTACCACCTGATACAATAAGCCTACCAGACGATATGCTCATTGTCACATCGAGTTCGACAAAATAGCTCGGTCCATGTATTGGTCACCATCAAGCGAGTAAATACCAATTGTACCCATCAAGTTGCCATACCTCGAAGGGCTTACAAGACCTTTTATTTACATCTTGATGGTCCAAATGCAGTGTCCAGGAACAATATGGAGCCAATCCTCTTATCACCCCTTAACTGAACCTCTTACTATCTTGGGTGACGGGTTTTGGAGTAGCAAGTTAACCCCTAAGCTTGACTAGTCCTTACTAAAGCTGCCACTTGTAGTCTGAGAGTTCAAGACTCCTTTTTAGTCTCGACCCTTTCCTATCTTGACAGAGTCAACTTGGAAAGCTCATGTTGGAAAGTTCTCCAACTATTAGCCAACCCTATTGCCACACTGAACATGGTCTTATCGTTGTTAGAGGAGTGTAGCTCATTGATATAGGACACAAGTCTCTATGTCGTGGGGGCACTGGTTAGAGGGTTAAGAGTCTCAATGTAGGACAAGTTCATGACAAGAAGAGAGTTTCTTATTTGGTGAGAATATAGGAAGGAAAAGAGAGATGAAGTTAACAATAATACTTGAAAATATGGTTAAAAAATTTATAACTAAATAGTCACTCCGAATCAAGGAGAAAACTCCCAAGAACAAATGCCTCACACCTCCACACGTCTTGCACATTGAAGATGAAATCTCACTATGGAGACTTAAAATGTGACCTCACACTACTCTCACATATTATGGATATTATGTAATAATATATTTTCATTCATCGATTCATATCTTAAATTGAATCAATTTTCATTTTTTATAGACCTCCAAATACAAGAAAAAAAGTTATGCCATTATCCTTCTAAATTATTCAAATGAGAAATAAATGAAAATGATCTCGCATCAAATACTTTTAGTAATAATTTAATGCTGATAAGGTTCACATGTTTTTAATTAAAATAGCCTTCTTCGTACTTCTGTGCATCCTATTTTTCTATATTCCCCATTGAAGCTGTGGTTCAATATTATGCTATTTCTTTGGTAGCATACACGTTGTACTCACTCTTTACTATATGATGCCCATATGTATATTTTTTCTTTTATCAGTTACAATTTTGATGATTCATATAAGTGGTGGGTCTTCTTTAGATCCATTCTGCTACCTATTAATATTAATTCCTTACTTTGTAATCTTGCTGACATTTATTTTTAAATGTTCTCTCTAAAAGTACAACAATTACTGGAAATTAACCTATAAGATACTGGATTCAGATTGCAGAAGGGAACATGTGGCTAAATGATACCATTGGAGTTATTCCGAAAAATTCTTGGGCTATAGATCCATTTGGTTATTCAGCCACAATGTCTTATCTGCTTCGGCGTATGGGTTTTCGTAATATGCTAATACAGAGGACTCACTATGAGCTGAAAAAAGAACTAGCTTTGAATAAAAATCTAGAATACATATGGAGACAGAGCTGGGATATGGAGGAAACAACTGATATATTTGTTCACATGATGCCATTCTATTCTTATGATATTCCACATACTTGTGGACCTGAGCCAGCTATTTGTTGTCAGTTTGACTTTGCTCGAATGCGTGGATTTAGTTATGAGGCATGCCCCTGGAAGTTTGATCCAGTTGAAACAAATTCTAACAATGTTCAGGAGAGAGCCATGACACTTTTGGATCAATACAGGAAAAAGTCTACTTTATACCGAACAAACACCCTTCTTGTTCCATTGGGTGATGATTTTCGTTATATTAGCATGGATGAAGCAGAAGTCCAGTTTCGGAACTATCAAATGATTTTTGATTATATAAATTCTAATCCCAGCTTGAATGCTGAAGTCAAGTTTGGTACTCTTGAGGATTACTTTGGCACTCTTCGTGAGGAAGCAGAAAGAAGAAACTTTTCCCGGCCCGGTGAGGTGGGATCTGCTGAACTGGAGGGTTTCCCATCTCTTTCAGGTGATTTCTTTACTTATGCTGATAGAAACCTAGACTATTGGAGTGGCTACTATGTTTCGAGGCCATTCTTTAAAGCATTTGATCGGGTTCTGGAACAGACACTTCGTGCATCAGAAATACTAGCTGCATTAGTTTTGGGATACTGTCAGAAGCTTCAGTGTGCTAAACTACCTATCAATTTCTCCCACAAGTTGACCGCTGCAAGAAGGAACTTAGCTCTTTTTCAGCATCATGATGGAGTAACTGGTACTGCCAAGGACCATGTTGTAAGAGACTACGGCACTAGAATGCGTACTTCCCTGCAGGACTTGCAGATTTTTATGGCTAGGGCTGTGGAAGTTCTTCTAGGTGATTTTCATGACAAGGCAGATCCTACCTTGCTGTCCCATTTTGAACCAGAGCAGAGTAGGTCTAGGTATGATGCCCAGCCAGTGCACAAAGTTCTTGATGTTACCGATGGGGAACCCCAGTCTGTGGTATTTTTTAATCCATTGGAGCAAACAAGGGATGAAGTCGTAATGGTAATAGTATCAAAGCCTGATGTGTCCGTTTGGCACTCAAATGGATCATGTGTGAAGAGCCAAGTATCTCCCAATTGGAAGCATGATACAACAGAAGATGATACCAACCTGCATCGCCTTTACTGGCGAGCTTCTGTTCCTGCAATGGGGTTGGAAACCTACTTTGTAGCTCGTGGATCTCCGTCGTGTGAAAAAGCCGCACCTGCCAAAGTGAGAGTATTCTCTGATACCGCATTTTCTTGTCCTCCTCCTTATGTATGTTCAAAAATTGAAACTGAGACAGTACAGATTCATAACCTTCTCTACACACTCACATTCGATGTAAAGAGAGGTCTGCTGCAGAAGATAAGCCATAAAGATGGCAAACAAACCTATGTCGGTGAAGACATAGGATTGTACAGTAGTGTTGGAAGTGGTGCTTACTTGTTCAAACCTATTGGAGAGGCTAAACCTATTATTGAGGAAGGTGGCCAATTTATTATTTCTGAAGGTTCATTGGTCCAGGAATCTTTTTCTATTCCAAAGACCATGTGGAAGAATACGCCTATTTCTCATAGAACACGTATCTACAGTGCACAGAACACTGTACAGCAGTTAATTGTTGAGAAGGAATACCATGTTGAGCTTCTCGGTGATGAATTCAATGACAGGGAACTAATTGTGAGATTCAAGACAGACATTGACAATAAGAGGGTCTTCTATTCTGATCTTAACGGATTTCAGATGAGCCGAAGACAAACATATGACAAAATCCCACCACAAGGAAATTACTATCCCATGCCATCACTTGCTTTTATGCAGGATCCATCAGGTCACCGGTTCTCAGTACATTCTAAACAGTCACTAGGGGCAGCTAGCTTGAGAGATGGTTGGTTGGAAATTATGTTGGATCGCCGATTGGTTTATGATGATGGACGTGGTCTAGGTCAAGGGGTGATGGATAACCTTCCTAATAATGTCCTCTTCCACATCCTCACAGAGTCTAATATCTCTGCTTTGCCTTCAAATCATATGCTGTTGACTCTCCAACCATCACTTCTTTCCCATCGTGTGGGTGCCCACCTGGACTATCCAATGTGTGCATTCGTTAGCAAGACTAGACCGCGACAAAAATCCCTCAAGCTCCATCGACTTTCGTTTGCTCCGTTATCCTCTTCATTACCATGTGACTTACATGTAGTGAATTTTAAAGTTCCACAGCCTCTGAAGTTTACACAGGTACACCCTCTGGCCTCTAGATTTGTTATTCTTTTGCAGAGGAAGGGCTGGGATGGTTCATTCTGCAAACGAGGTGGACTGCATTGTTCAACCATTGCGGACGAGCCTGTGAATTTGTTCTACATGTTCAAGGACCTCACTGTTTCCAATGTGAAAGCAACTTCCTTGAATCTATTACATGATGACACTGAAATGCTGGGTTACAACGAGCAGTTGGGAGAAGTAGCTCAAGAGGGAAATGTGCTAATATCCCCAATGGAAATACAGGCTTACAAGTTAGACCTTCAGTCTCAAACATAGGCTCTGTAAGGTGCGGTTTAAGTGCCTTCATCTGGTACAGTGGTTGGTTTATTGTGCCTCCAAAACTTGCTAGCTTTCAAGACTTGGGACATTTGCCAATCATTCATCACTCTCTTTCATGGAGATTGGATCAAAGCCTGAACACACTATTTCTGTAAACCTGCTAATGAAGATAGGAGGACATACATGCTGTTGCTGTAAAGAGTTTTTTGATATTTTGCTAGAGACAGGAAATAAGATGCAGAGAAGAAAGTGATTCATGGATATCTGAAGCATGTCGAGCTTTATTGTGACTCCAATTTCAGGAGCTTGAGGATATCTCAGAATTGCTTATGTATTTTAGAAAAATTAGATACAATGTTGTGTTCGAATTTATTTAAGACTGCTAAAAGAGGCAATACATGATACAATCCCATACTGAGTTTGCAGATTGCATCGGAGTTGCATTATTATGTTCTGTAACTAGTTACCATGAGATGGTAAATTGCTTCCAACTGTGAAACTGATGAACTTTATGTCACAGAACAGTGACGCTTTACTTGTTTCTTATTGTTAATTCTCCCATTCTTTGGATGACCATGGTGGTTGATTGATGGTGCCTCCTATCATTTTCCACCTAAAGTTGGCAGCCTCTTTTATCAAACTATTTCCTACTACTTTCACACTATAATGAATTCCGTTGAATCAAACACTATAATGTTAGATGAGACATATCAAACTGAGGAGTGGATCAAAATCATTTGTGATTGGGGCTCCGATCACAATCTAGATGGTGGCATAGGATTTGTTGATAGAATTTGTGAATCAAAATCTTGATTGCTGGTAATCTATCTATTTATATAATGTCGTTATAATATGCATTGTGAAGCAAGCGTAAGACAATTGAAGGTAAAACCGATCGAGTGAGGAGGATGCACGTCGACCATTTGATCGGTCGACCATTTGTGCGATCCGTAGGCTCGCGAAGAATTATTCGTTTTGAGCGATGGACGTACTCGTACGGTTTTATTCTTTTGAAACATGTGAACTCCAAAAGACGTCTCTAAGAGTAAGATTCCAAGCTAACAATGCACTGTCTCGTTAGCTTACTTATTAATATATATTTTGTTGAATACATATCTCATATATTCCATGACATCTTTTGCCAATCATCAAATCTTCTTATATATAGTACCAATGCTATCCTCTACATCTATATGTTTTGGTTCTCCGGATGCGAACAAATGGGCATTTTTTGGCCATGCAACCAAGAAAAGTTTAACATCCGGCTGAAAAAAAAGGAAAAGAAAAGAAAAAAATCTAATATCTAAATCCTTCGTATCTGTGGGTGCACTTAATGATTGGATGGTCCCCTCCTCCCCAGTGATGTCAATGGCAAGACACTGTTCATCAGCCTCTCCGGCTGCATCTCTCGGACATCGTGCAACCGCCTCCGACGCCTTGAATTCCGTCGAGAGTCACGGATGTAGAGAACAGCTGCTGTAATCGCCATGAGTATGCATAAGGAAAGCCCAGCCAATAATTTTGCTGCTGCCACCCGTATCTCTTTTCCCACTGCTTCAAAGACCATCAAGCGCCACAGATACACCGACGTATGGAGAGCCAGGGCGACGGTCGACACGGTCATGATGGCCATCGCGACCGCCCCCGAAGCAGACCATAGTTTTGACCTCCTGCAATTTGGGAAACCGGCGAACATCCAATGGATAATAAACAAACAACTTCCGAGTGAGTCATATGGATCGTAGAAGAAAGCGTTTGATATCTTAGAGACACCATCTTCAAAATTCTTATGCATGCAACTTGGAATCTTGTAATTCAATAGAAATGAATGATATATAGCGAAGCATATCGAAATTATAAGACAAGGGCGGGGGATACGAGAGGAGAGGACGAAATGTGATTATTAAATGCGAGAGACACTTAATATCTACATCGATATTTATAGATTGTTTTATGTACATAATTACATTAATATGCGATGAATTCTAATTGTAGTTGTAAAAAGGATAAAAAAATACAAACTTAGTTTTCATCTAGTTCGGTTTTAGTCTAAACTTGAGCTAAATCGGCATAGTTCGAATCAACTAAATAGAAATAGAAATCATCCAAATCCAACTTGATTTATGTCATGTTTCATGGTCGCTAGGTCACACTCAATCATTGGGCCATTCTAGGTCGTAGAATGTTGGGTTTGGTATGTCACAATCGACTGGTTTAACCCAAGTCATGTTTAATGACTCAAGCCCAAACATAAACGGTGTTACCTAAACTAGACCAAACACTATCTGTAACCAAATCTATATATTATTTTTTCTAATTAATCCATATCAAATTCACAATAATGAAGTATTAAAAACTTAAATTATGAATCAAATATTTTTAATATTTAAAATGAAATAAAATGTAGGAGAACGTACTTGGAGCTCATGACGTCCACTAATCCCTCGCTCAAATTTTATCAGGATAGATAAAAAGATAGGAATTGAGGCATGTTATATAGAGACCGAGAATGATTTCAAATAAGGTAAGAATTAATTTTTATTTTTATTTTAAATTAAAAAATAATTAAGTTAGGTTATATTCTTATTCGAATATTCAAAATAGGAAATAGGTATTAGTTGCCGAAATAGAATTCGTTATAAGCGAAAATATAAAAATAATATTTTAGTTAAGAAAAAAAAATTAAGGTGATTGCATTTCTATCCTTAAGGAATTTGATTCTCAAATTCGATATACCTTTTAAAAAAAATCAACAAATAGGTAATAAATTTAAATAGGTTGGTATTATCATTAGTTAGCTCACAATCAACAGATCACTTACAAGTTGATTAATAAATTAAACTAAAGCATTCAAAATGTTTGATTCATACCCATTCCTATTGCGCAAACAAAGTGAGTTAAGACTATCCAATGCACGCATTGGTTGGCAAGAACAAACAACGATAAAAATCCTTCCAACTCTATGGAGGTTCGTTTGCTCCTTCATGTCTTCTTCGTCACCATGTAGTGAACTTTAGTTGACGCAGGTACACACCCTCTTGGCCTCTACATTTGTTCCAAGGATTCTTCAACAAATTGACTTTGCACCACAGTAGTAAGTATATTAGTCGCAGTTTTTTCGAATCTCGACTAAGAATATACTATTGTAGTTTCATATGTGTTACATTAACTTTACTTTTATTTGATTTTTAGAAACTATAGTTATAAATACTTTATATATAGATTACGGATATCAAGGAAAGGTAGACAGAATATGTACAAGGTCGACTTCTTCTGCCTCCTCTCCTTCCGAGACGATGTATCCTTGCAAGACCAATATTGATCCAGAATTCCTAAACAAAGACACAATACATCATCTTCCTCATTGCTCTTTTTATTCTCTCTCTCTCTCTCTCTCTCTCTCTCTCTCTCTCTTTACATCTTACGATTTTTTTGTTAGGTTTCTTGGTTAGAAATTATTTTGTTTTAGTAACTATGATCTCTCTTCTTGTCGTCGTCAGTGGAAGATCAGGAATTCACTATCATCGACCAACTCCTACCCTCCTCCCCCTGCTTCCTCTCCTTCCATCGACGAAGGTTCTTCTGCAATAGGCAGACCTAACTATTTTTAATATTTTTAATAGAGAGAGAGTGGTGGTAAAGGGTTCTTCTTTTAGAGGGAAGATTAAAGTTCAAAATTTAGATAGAGAGAATAACATCTTTCACAAGTTGTAGTCTTCACCATTTGTGTGCCGTCGACTTGCTTATTACTATTGATTTTGATTAGCTCCTCCCGACAAATTGACCATTAACCCATCTGATCATATCGGACTTCACTAGACTTGACATGAGGAGGTGGTTATTTGGTTGTCTTTATGAAATGATTATCTTGAAGGACGGGATCGACATGAGAGGGTGACTGTTCTAATGAAACGATTGTCCCGGTGATGTATGTGATCATTTATAGAGCAATTGTCTTGATGATATGGCCAGCTCGAGGAGCGATCATATCTGAAAAAAATGATCATCTTCAAGGATACAACCAACTTTAAGGAGTTTATCTCTCAATGACGCGACCAACTTGAGGAGGTGATCATCACGAGGAAATGATCATTTTAAAGGGTGTAATTGATTTAAAGAAATAATTATCCACCCGTTGTGCAACTTCACGTCGTGGCCGAGTAGTCAATACGGCTCGATCCGATCCGAGTGCATAAGGTCGTCAACGTGGCTTCCTAGCTGGAGAGAGTCGGCGTTAGGTCGGGTCGGGATGCCATCTGCCGAGCATATCCGAGGTAGAGCAAGGGGGTTGCTTTTCCTTCCTCGTTGGGCTCTTGCACATGGGCCAAAGTCGGGAGTAGATTTTTTGACTTGACCCATCTAAAGTAGGGAGAAGTGATAGTGAGATTGGGTGTTTGAAGTCTCACCTCTAGCACTAGCTAGGAGGCCGACTTTTATACATGTGGCTAAGGGTCGATCGCACATAGTTTGTTAATGGTCGTCGATGCCTCAGACTACTGGCCTATATACTCCGCACAACACTGATCAACCTACATGGCTCTATGCCACGCGACGCGGCTTTGGGTGTTCTCGAGTGGCTTCGTATTGTGTGGCACCATCTCATATAGCCTCAAGCGGCATGGGCGCAATTGGCTATCTCATACAGGTTTGTGTTAGCGACGCGGGTGCATGTGACTGTCTTGTACAGGTTCGAGGTGCCACATCGGTGCGCGTGTGTCATGTCAGCTTCGAGGTGCCACATCGGCTTTGACGTGGCGATTGACTGCGAATGTGGGGGAGATGCTAGAATAGTGCAATATACAACGGTGCATGGATTGCATGTACCGACGTAGCCCTATGGTGTCGGTTGACTCTATGCGACGCCCTACCCATTTTGGTTTGGGTTCGAATAGTTAATTTTTTAATTAAAAATTTTAAAATATAAAAAAAATAAATTTATTTTTGAATAATAAAAATAAATTAGAATTTTGAATATGGTGGTTTGAATCGGAATTTCTGATTCGTAAATTGTGGAATCCACGGTTCTAATTTTTTAAACTTAGAAATCAGAATCGAACCATCTTGGATCAGTCCCGATTTGATTTGATATCGATAAATCGTTGAACCGGTTCATTCCTATTTCGATTCGAATCGAATCGAATCGTGATCAGCCCTTGGTGAGACGATTTAAACTAAATACGATTTAAACCAAAAGGAATTGGTTGCGAGGAAGGACTCACTCGATATCATATTATACTTAGCTTAGTTTCTTAATTACCAAACATTATATATAATAATAAATATATGCTTAGAATTTTGAGAAAACAAATTTCCTTTTAATTTTTCTTGTTTTGCATGAAATGGTTAATCAAGTTCTATTGTTTTGTAATTTTTAATCATATTCCACCTAAAGTTGGCAGCCTTATCTTACCAAACTATGTCGTACTACT